GCTTCTACAGTTACGGAGAGCGATCATTTACAGCCTTCATTAGCGATTATGCCACTATTTTCAACACGATGATGCTACGGAAGCGGAAATTTTTTTTTTTGATCTGATATCGGGAAGTGCACTAATTTGCATGGCACGTTCTGTATGCACAGTCTCCGGGCATTGTTTGTAACTCATCTGCGTTATATGCAATGTTATCAGGATATCACTTTGAGGTACCAAGCAGTGAATTTACAAGCGGAACATCTTCATCATCTGTATCGCCCTCATATGTTGATTTCTAAGTCCACATTCTTAATCCACGCATTAACTGTTCACAGCACCTCGTTCCCATCGTACACGCTGTTCGCACATAACTTGATAAGCAGAGAAGCACGAACTTACAGAATTTTCGAGATCAGTGAGTGCTTGCGTGAGGCGAATGTTAAAAACAGCGTGTGAACGACTGCTCTCCGTGTTCATATTTGTTGCGGCAACTGTTCGCGACTTATTTCCCTCCTCCATTAACGACGCTACTTGCTAAAATTTGCCCTTTTTAAAATAATCAATTAGCTCCTGAACTTTTGTCCAGATAATTTCCATGTCTTCGGAAGAATTAATGTAAGGCTGTTTTGTTTTCAAATTCAGTAAACATCGACGCTTTTGGCAGCTCTGGAATTGCATAATTTTTAAAAAAAAGTACCTCATACGAAGAAACAGCTAAGACGGATAATCCATCAACCGTTGGGCCAAGCACCTTATGCTCACGCACTTTCAAATTCTTGCTTGTTCTGCAAATGCAGCTGGTCACATATTTCTAGCGCTTGTGGATTTTTTAAAATAACTGACTACAACGTCTAAGAACCAGTTTCCAGGTCGCAAACATAAAATAAGAAAATTTCAACCGTAAACAAAAACTAATTTTAAAAATTTATTCCTCTTCCATAAAGACACAAATCACTAACCGAATTATTCCAATTTGCATCAGATTTTAGTAAAAATCGGAAAAATTAGCGGTAAACGCTCGTGCTGTTGATAAACAACAAAAAACCGATGCATGTTAAAAGTTGTTTGTGTTTGCTATAAAACCTTCTATGTTATGTTTTTCTAAGCAAGTTCTTTTCTGCAGCCATATTATATCAGCGCAAAACTATGCCCGAGCTGATAGGCAGAAAAAATCAAAGTAGAAAACTTCTGGCCATTCATCTAAACTGAAAAAACGATTGTGTAATCTAGATCTGAGGTCATGGGTCAAAATGCAGCAGTGTTAGAAAAGCTAAATCCCGCCTGTTTATTTTATGTTATGCGATAATTCATCAATTGAAAAAATAAATCAGATTTGCAGCTTTGCTCGTCCAAACGCTATTAAATTAGCCGTCAAACAAAAATTTTAAGATTAGAGAACGAGAAAGCTGATTTTGAAACTGCGGTTCTGCACACAGTTCGCTTCAAGATTTCAGCATCCTAGCTTTTCTAGTTCCTGAGTTACTTTGTTCGGCCGGACACTTACATATAAGACAAACCCAAGCACACAAACGTACAAACCTAAACTCGCTCAATTTCACTACAAAGCGACCTTGAATTGTAGGGAAACG